CATTCTCTCTCCTTTTCAAAAGCACTCACAGGGTCAGGCCCTGACTCATGCTGAAATAACTACTCACTGTTCATCTCTAATATCACAGCCCAAGAATTTGGATTTAAGATGGTTATTGGTCATTGGACAAGTGCAGTATAAATGTTTACTGCCTGCCGTACCTCTTGTTCCTACAGTCAGCTGATTACTTGGATTATCAGCTCACCAATTGACTCTTATCTGAAAGTGCCGTCATAAATAATGCACTACCTGCTCCGGATCAAAGTGTATTAGTGATGTGTCGGTCGCGAACGAGCCGGCTCTTTAAGTGAACGACGGGAGCCGGCTCGCGCGAACGAGCCTTTTAAAAATGTTTTGTTAAGTAGGCTAATACAAGACAGAATGATATGATGATCTCCGCGCTACGGGTGCTCCTTGCATGCATGCAGTGACATGTAATATCCAAGGATTAGAGACTGTTGGATGCTGTTGTTTTGAGCATTGCAATACATTTATTTGTATTATGTTTTTTTTATGATTTGACGGTTGGGTGCTAGTGGAGCCTCGCAGCACCGAAACCGTGCCGCGCCACACTAATAAGCGCGCCGCATTTGCGGCTCAGTTGAGGCCCCCTCCGCGAGGTGAGGCCCCACGCAGGCTGCGTGATCTGCCTGTAGGGAAGGACGACCCAGGGTGTTGCTATCTGCTTTGTGTGGCGTGGTTCTACAAGCATGTCAGTGCATTCATTGGCCAATGAAAACAATTGGCCACAGCAAATCATTTATATTAAACATGTAATTTTTACTTTTTAATACTTCAGTACAAAGGATGTATTGAATAATGTAAGTGATATATGTGTACACATATACATCATTAGTCAAAACAGGGCTGCATTTGATTGAATTATAAAAGGTATATGGTCAAATTAAGAGCCGTTTGGGAACAAAGAAAACTACTTGGATCATTTATAATTGCCCTTGATTTGGTTTTATTTGTTGCTTTCATTTGTCACATGTTTTGTTTTTTTGTTGTGCGATATGATAATGGGAAATAATTGGACTATTACATTATTTCAACTGACATAAATGCTAGAGATGTCCCGATCCGATCACGTGATCGGGGATCGGAGCCGATCACGTGATTTTCAAAAGATCGGAATCGGGAGAAAAAAATCGGGGATCGGGATCTTTTTTTTTTTTTTTTTTTTAATAAATTTTCTTTTTTTAATTTAATGTTACAAAACAAAAATGACCATGTTCACGTCTTAAAGTCATCCTGAGGCGTTAGTTTTGGTTTAAAATTACACAACATCATGTATGTGTTGCTTCTTTTGGGCTTGTTTTCATAGACCTGGTTGCTTATTTCTCTCAAATCTGGCAACAGAGTGGGCGCAGTGTCTAATAGTAGCAGTAAGCTAACAAGAGGCTACGTTCAGCTGGTGCCTCGGGAGTCGGGACAGAGAAAATGTCAGGAGTTTGGAAGTATTATAAAATTGAAAGCGAAGGCAGTGTAACAGCCAGATGCAATGTTTGCAAGGCGGAGGTTCCGCGTGGTGGAAAGAACAGAGCTACGTTCAACACGACCAATCTAATACGAACACCAACAACAACACGACGAGTACACAGCGGCCACTCAGGTAACGGCACTGAAACAACCGACACTTTCAGAGACTTTTAAAAGGAAAGAGAAACTGCCCCAGAACAGTGAAAAGGCCAAAAGAATAACAGCCAAGATAGCTGAATGCATAGCGTTGGATGACCAGCCGTTATGTTACCTTTTTTTTCTCTTAATGCATTGCATAAAGATCGGATCGGGAAAAATCGGTATCGGCAGATTGTCAAAATCAAATGATCGGAATCGGATCGGGAGCAAAAAAAGGTGATCGGGACATCCCTAATAAATGCAAATGATATAGACATTTCTAACATGTAGTGACGCCTATAACTTGTTTGATTGTGCTGTACCATTTAACTCTGAACAGTAATTTAACAAGTGATCACATTGTTCTCTTCACAATAACCCAACACAATTCATTTGGAAAAGGCAGCATACTACAATTAGGGTAAGGCAGAATAACTGTTCAAAGAGATGTTCCTGTAATAAATACTACACTGGGGAAACATTTTGTTTCTAATTTATGTTGACACTGTCAACAGAGGGATGTTGATTCAACTCTAAAATAACTCTTGTTTTTCGTTACATCACTGTGAACACATTAGTTAGGTCAGGATAGATCAATCATTAGAAAAGAGTCCAGTTAGGGGGGCTGTGTATTGTGCATGTAATGGTAGGAATCTGGTGACATGATACATAAAGATACAGGGTTACAATTCAATATATTGGAATGCATAACAATATTTTATAATTTATATATTGCAATTTTTGAAACTTTTTTAATGAAAATGTTCATAGTATAAAGAACACACTGCCATTTGCAAATCAATCATGAGTCTTCTAGCATTATTAGCATGAAAATTGACCAAAGATGGGCGAATAAAGCTCTGCAACTATTTTGAATGAATATAGTGTGTTTATTTTTGCGAGTGTGAATATAGAGCGGTCAAAGGCCAAAGCCAAATACCAAATCTCCTGAGATATGTCCAAGTAAATCAGTATCACGGAACGCTAACTGGTTTTTGCAACATGCAATTACTGTGCTTGTGAATCTCACTTACGTCATCTTATTTCCCTTTTCCTGCCTCAGGCCTGAGCATCAACTCCTTAATGCTCTCAGCTAGAAATGCCGTTAAAAGCTCTTTGGATCCACTTCTGGATATGTGTGCTGCTGCTGGTTTCTGCCTTCAACAATACTTTTATTCTCTCCTCCCCAGATATTTGACCAATAATAAAGTGCAATATTCAAAACAACAAAAATGTTACTAATGCACTCAAATAGAATCTATGAAATACGATGACATTGAACGCATTTTATCCCCACTTCTTACTGGGATGTTAAATATTTTAAACAGTGCATTTTGCTTTTCAAATGTGATGTTTAAGTAAAGATGAATTCCAATATAGCCTGAATTAACTGAACTTTGTTTTTTTTTAACATATTTTAATGCAAGTTATATTTCTGTATTTATAAAGTAATGCATTGAATGAGACTCAATTATAAAAGCCTGATTTTTTTAAGCAGAAAGTATGTGTTTGCATAGGTATTGATGAAATAGCCAACACACTGACTCTGAAAACGACTTTAAGATGGAGAATATTTCATCCTAGACGAATCTTTGTTCGGTCCGAATGTTTGTTTGTGTCTCAATGTATGAAGAAGGCACTTCAAAACTCAACAGGCTACCACTTAAAACACATTCCCTATTTTTAAAACCGGATACCATTTTGCTGTTAGTGCAGCTCCAGGACATTGAAGTTTCAACCTTTTGAAGCCTTTCAATTTTAATATTTAAAAAAATACCATGTGAATATTTTTTTAGAACACAAACGTAACACCACTTTGTGAAAAGAATCAATCTGAAAATGTGGGACTTGTGAGAAGGGCTGCAACTAATGATTATTTCCGTTATTGATTATTCTACTGATTTTTCTCTACATGAATAGATAACGTGTTTGGTCTATTTCTGTAAATATTGACAAATGTCCTTCCTGGTTATTACAAAGTCCAAGGTGTCTTAATTTGTCTAAAAAAAATGCAGTTTAATTTGATAGAAAAGCAGGAAATCTCCATATAAGTCTGAAAAAAAACGTTCCTGACATTTTTATGCGAACAAAATAAAACGATTATCAAAATAGTAGCCAATGGATTATATTCTGATGTTTAACCAATCGATTATTCGACTAATGGTTCCAGCTCAACTTGTGAGAGATCTGATATAATCTGGTGCTAGACAGTGATAAGAGCTTTTATAGCTTGAAATACTCTAGAGAGCCAGGCCTGAAAAGCTACATAACATCAAGTTCGCCCGCAAGTCAGGATTCTTCATTAATCATTCAATTACCACTGGCATAACATTTTTCAGTTTGCATGACCTCCCAGCTGACGTCCTACTATACAGTCACACATCCCTCGAGGCTTTTTTTTCATTTGGATGTATCAATGAGTTGACTGAGAAGGGTAATCAGCGAGTATAAATTATTCATGCCATGTATGAAGGTCAAGGGCCTCAGGTTAAACGTGGGAGTGCAGGTGAAAGCAATATCCTGGAACTGCTTAGCGCCATAATGTAGATCACATGGTGTGTGTTGCCTAGACAAATGGCTGAGGATGTATACTTACAGGAAAACAAAGATGTCCATGGTTTTGTCAACATTATCATCATCAGATCATTATTTCATTTGGGAAAAAAGCATTGCTCCAAATATGAAAACCAAAAGTAAGACTTAAAAATGGTATATTGATAGTTCAGTCCTTAGGCTACAATAGAATCCATTTAATAGGAAGGTTTTTTTCTTCTACAAGAGAAATCGGTCTCGTTTCTCTGAGGATTTCCCTTATATTTCTTTCCTATTTGACTGTAACCTCTTGAATATTAAATGAACAGGTCATCTACTATGTCCAAAATTCATCAGAACTAAAATTATGAAATTGTGATTTCCCTAGTGTGGTAGGTTGGTCCAGCAAAAAATAAAATGACTTATAATCGATTAATATTCGCCAGGGCTATCCGATTTTCGAATTTGATCATGGTCAGTTTCTGGCATCCCTAAAAAGAACACAATTGTGCTCTAGGAGGAGATTCAGGTGATAAGGTGTGTGTGTGGGGGGGGTTACCTTGGTTGGTTATTGGGTAATGGTTACACAAGCCAAAACATCGTTATGACATAAAGTGGCCAAAATCTGATCAGCTCATTTTCAGACAGGTTTTTATATAAATGGATCAGGACAAAAAGTGAGCGAATCTTTTTTCCTGAAACTTTCAGAATCTCTTTACACAGAGGGGACACATGTTTATGTATAACAGATAGGAAATAGTGGATTTTGCATAATAGGTGACCTTTAAGAAATACAAAAATAAAATTGTGTTTGGTTGGATCTCTGTTAGTAATGTTCTCATACTCACCGAGAAAACTGCATTTTGGAGCCCAAATGGTATTGGGGTGAGTCTCGCTAAGGCCACAACTTTGAGTCCACTTCCTCCCTCCACCACTCGTATGACAGCACTGAGCTGTTCACTGTTCCCAACTTTGTTCAGCACCCAGTCAGTCAATAGTCGTTTGCACACCAGGTGTGCCATGAAAGTACCTATTAAAACTCCCACCATAACAAGTCCCATGCCCAGCACAAAGCCGTAGAGGTAGCCAGCTGCAACATTAAGAACAATATACCCCCATCCACACGGGAAAGACACGATAATCAAACCAACTATAAACAGCAAGGCTCCGACGAGGCTGTCCAAGCTCTCCACCCAGAGCAGGAGGTCCTTGAGGTATTGGCGAACCAGTGCAACTGAGGAGAAGCACACAGCAGTCAGGACGCAGGCCAGCAGGGCACTCTTGAAGCAAAAGGTGGTGATACAGCATGGGTGTCTGAACTCTCCACTGTTGCTGAAGGTCGATCCCCCTGAGTCACAGATAACCTCAGGGTCTCCATCTGACTTTCCAATGCTGGCCCCTGTCTCATCGAAGGCGCTGCATATCAGTATGTCAATTTTGTCACAGTCATCTGTGGCAGTCCTCTGCAGCCAGCGGTTCAGCTGAATCTCTGCCTTGCCCACTGCATGCTTGACAAGCTTGGTGAAAAGCTGCACAGTCGTGGACCCTGACATTGACATGTTGGCCCTCAAATAAGCTCTGGGGACCAGCAGCAAGGCTCACACAGCTGTGACGTTTGAGATTTCCAGACAGTCTTTACATCCAGGGCAAGTCCATGTCTAGCGTTATCAATGTGTTGAGCTTCAACAGAGGAAAGGGTCTATAAGCATTTAGCAGTGGTAACCCTTTGCATGCAGTGAGACATACACATGAAATCCGTCACTCTCCTTGGCCATTTGATGAATTGTCCAATTTAACAATGTTTATCTTGGGTACACTAGCTGGGCAACGTGCCAGTCCAGTGATTTAAAAGCGCCAGTTTTGTAGTCTCGGTGTGAAACCCTCGCCATATTCAGAGTTGTTCTCGGCTCAGGACAGCCGTTTGAATGGACGGAGGGAGCTGTCAGTCCACGAAAACTGAAAGTGAAAAAAAGCTCTTCTTTAGACTGAGATGAACAGAAGCGAAATATTACGAGATCATCAACTTTTAAGACTCCACCAGCATTGCCGTCCAGCTAACGTTAAGGAGTTAGCATTAATCACAGCACGGCTAACTTACTGCTGGCCGTTAGCTAACTAGCTCACTGCCTGAACAAAGTCCACCGTTGCATCTCAGGGACTAAACCGCCGTCGCTGGCCTCCTCATACGCTGCTTCTCTCGGACAACAGAGCGACAAACAAGCCGCAGACACTGGATAAGGAAATACAGTTATCTCTTTCTCTGTTTGCTGGCTGTTGTTGTTTCTCCGGTCGCCTTCCTTCTTCCACAGTGGATAGAAACTGCTGCTGTTGACGCGGTTATAAAGCTTTTCATACCGACCACTGTTTGTGTCCCAGAATGCCAAGTGACCCTCTATGTCCACGTGACTGACCGTTTGACGTTCTCATCCAATCAGAGCGCTACTGCTGTCATCGCGAGATTTCTTTTACGAGGTTCCACGACAAATTGTGTTTGTTTTGGATCAATTATCAATTATGGATGGGGTAGTTTGATGGTTGAGCTTGAGTTTATTTTAACGGCTTTATTTGGGCTTCTTTTGTTGGGTTGTTGGATACGTTATAATCTATAGGCTGCTCGTAATATTCCTCTAAATTATGTACATGTTTAAAGAAGCATACAACTGAATTATTAAGTACATTTGGATGTAAACTACTCCACCAGAAAGTTGCATCAATATAATTTAGTTCCTTTAATAAATATTAAGGAATTAATCCAAAAGGGACAAAAGTAGTAACACTGCCTCTGTATTTGTTTGGTATAATTTATATATTGATATAGACTGAGAGAAAAGTGTTAAAGTTACCAGAGGTGTGTCTGAAAATATTGCAATGCTGTTATTCAGGTAATGCGGTTACTGTTGGGGAAAAAAGGCGAATTGTTGACCCTCTTCATTTCTTCTATTATCGAACACATAAAAGGACAACTCATGTCTTTGGGACTTTGCCTTACTTTTTGGCATAAAAAAAAGTATCTGTTAGATACTCAAACATATTCAAAATACAATTCATGTGATAACTCATCACTTTCTCATCAGTAAAAAATTGACTACTTGTATACGTACAATTAAGTATACACACCAGCACATTTGCAAAACAAAAAAACAAATATATCACCATTACATTTTATTAATAATTTCGTCTGTCAGACACTGCTATCACATGCGTTTCCACTAACAACTACCATTATTATTTAGATTAAATTACTATCGATTATCAATAAGGTAGCAGTGGTGGAAGATACTTAGATTGTTTGTTTTAGATGTAGGCTTTCAAAATAACACAACATACAACTTCACTAAAGACACAAATCCATTAACACACACTTTAATGTAGCTTGCTTTTTGCAGTTCACTATTGACCCTATAACAAAGCATCATAAATTATAATAATTTAAAAGAAAATTGTGTACAATTTATTAACATGGAAAGTATATATAATAAATAATGGCTATGTTATCATATAATTAATATTGTTAGCTTATAATTACAAATGTTGTCTAAAGGTTGGGTTGTTTAGAACAAGGCTTCTCATGGGTTTAGGTTAAATCGTAATCTGCTAAATCATAGCCTTCAAATAAATGAGTACAATGTTCCTCTAAAATGTAGTAAAGTAGCAAAAAGTGCAAAAAACTAAACAAAGTCCATTCTTTTTAAAATTGTAGGCTGTAGGAGCAGTTCATGAATATATCAACGTTTTACATAAGACAAATATGGTCATCAATTATTAACGGAAATCATATCACATACAAAATTGAATTCTACTTGATCAATTTAGAACAATAAATGTGTAGCAGAGTTTGCATTCATATTCTCCTGTATTTCTGAGAACATACAGTAAAGTATTAGCCTGGGGTTTATCTCCCTGCTTGGTATGCTCATCATAAATTCATAATGAGGGGAGTGGAGCAGACAATGCGTGCATTCATGCACACTGCTCACCGCCTGACACCCAGCTGTTGGTAAGAATTTTTTTTGTAGTTGTCCCTAAAAACTTGCCTCGGCTTCCTGAAAAGCTTTCATTTTGAAATAGTACATACAGATAGATTATACTACACCAAATGGTTATATTTAATTAGTTTTTGTGTTGAGATTGACGACAGCAGTAATGTTTTAACACTCCACTAGATGGAACTGTTGCACAGTTTTACAACCAATCCATTTGCAGGGTTTATTCATGAGTTGCATTGATGTATAGGCTACATGTGGAACATCATGCATGCTTGACAACAATCTGGTCTGACAAGATCAACAGGTTTAACATCTGAGGGGCAAACTGTTACATAAGTAAAGCTATTTGTTTGTAAGCGCTTCTTTCTCAAGTGTTTTTCTTTCCCTTTATTATTCTTTCAAGATTAAAAATTGTGAACTTGTTTTTGTTTTTTGCAATTTGGAATTGTGTGGTTATGTTATGTCAACCACTGTATGTTACCTAACCCTTTGGTCAACTTACATTTGGAAACCCTAAATACATTAAATTAAGTAGGCTAGATGATCGAATATATAAGGCATATAAAAGAAAAAGAAGAAGAAGAGACTACCTCACATTATTGTTTAACTAAATGTCAAAGTCCAAAGAGGACTTTAACTCAAGCTGAAATTATCTTTTGTCTGGCCTTCATCTTTAAAAAGAAACAAATATATAATAGGCTATTATATAAATCTTTATAGCTTATAGGATTCCTATTTGGGCATAGCCTACGTTACATTTGTTGCTGCTAATTTGGCTTTCTGTTATTCGGTAGATATGTTTGATTCTAGACATATGTTATCGGTCATTAAAAGTACATTTTTCATTTATTGATTTATTTTCATAAAGTGCGATACTGAAGTTGCATTTGAGTGACATTTCGCTTCCTCCAATGTAGGTTTGCACCATATACAGTCTATGGTTTGCACCATAGACTGTATATATAAAGGTTTGCACTCATCACAACAGCAGCAAGCCGACAGAGCACATGGCAGGAAGTTAAGTGACTTCGCTTTCATAATAAAAGCATACGTATTCAGGAAACGTATCGTTGTTTGTGGCAGTCATGCAAACAATAGCGTCAAAACTATACACAACTATATGTGTAGCAAAATGAGGGCAGACAAAAACATCTAAAATATGTTGGTCGTGGTATTGATGTAATAGTGAAAGTGTGATGTGTTAAACCTTAATCCGGAAGTTGTGCCTTTTATTCCGTCTGACTTGACCGCGTTAAGCAGTCGCTCTTTTTGACCATTGGCTTTGATCAGATAAGAGGTTCACGCGGACACATTCCCCTGCACTTCTGAAGCTACATTTTGAAAGATGGATTGTTCAGAAGAGGTTCAGGCTGTGTTTGAGGAGCCCACAGCTGAAATGGAGCTAAAAAAGGGAATGTCGATTTTCATTGATGTAAGTAAAACATTTTTTAATCATTATTTGCAATACAAAATGTGTTGCATCTTCATAATACAGGACTATATTAGCATTTTTCGGATAACCTAACAATCTAAAGCCTATATATTAGCAGAACAAATCAGGGAAAAAACATTATTCCTTCCAGATTTTTGTTGCATTTCAAGAAGCATTTTGACTTTTTAAATGTATGTTTTAGTGATTTCAATAGTTACCCGTGGAGGTTTTTTGATCACACAAGTTAAAATGGATCCCTTTTATGCATATTGGGTGCAGACAAATCCCTTGGTTCATATGATTAATTAATTTGATTTTGCAGACCCTTAATTTAGATTCATCATGTAATGACTTCAAAGGCTGGCCATCCATTTTTATGTCAGTTTTCAAAAACCAAATACCAATTAATGAAGCATAATAGATCTTCTTGGTTTTGACCAAAGCCAGGCTGTTATTCCTTTTCTAAAGCCACATCTAGCTCAAGTAAGGCAAGTACTTTTTTTAACCTATACGTTTTTTTTAAATGATGATAAGGATTACCAACACTTGTAGATCTCCCTCACATGATAAGAAATTCAATATTGAAATAACATCTTATATCCATATCACGGCACTGCATTCTGCTTCTGCACCCACCACCACCACCTCGTTATATTCCTCCTCATTCCTCCACTCTCTCATTCCCTTGAAAGCTTTGACCGTAAACCTGTTGGCTGCCTGAATGGGAATCAACAGTTATTAAAGGTTTATGGCGTATAACATCAAATGTCTTGCTGATAATGAGCAGTTGCTTTATCTTCTGGCAGTGAATTAAACCACTGCTTTCCTTTAGAGGCGAGTTTCAACGTCAGATTGTTGCTTCTGTTGTTTTCTTGACATTTCCTATAGCTAGCTCAGCCGGGTGCGTGTCATTTAAACACACACGCTGACTCCAAACAGTCGTTTCATCTTTTAAAAGGTTAGATAAACTGTGTCTCCATGTGTGACCTTCTTCCTTTTTTTCATGCTGTTGTGGTGCTATATTTTCCATTTTTTGTGATGAGTTACCAGTATGAGCTGGTATAATTAAATCCAATCAGCACACAAAGCTTAATGATTTTCAACAATATAATTTGCATGAATATCACAATTAAAAAATAAA